GATATATATATATGGTTTGGCTAATTATTTTTTCACATTGGTCATGGTACATTCCCTCGAGTGTGAGCATGTGTCTGTGTGCCAACGTCTATACGCAACGCTGGTCCTTAATCAGCATGATTAAAAAAGTCTTATGAGTTGAGTATATATAAGAGGTAAGATAGAGCCGAGCAGTCTTCTTAACCTAGCACTCGTTAACGTAAGACTTTTAGAAGAATGATTTCTAGTTCTGAGGATGTCATATTATGGATGAAAAACCCATCCCGTTTTCACCCAAAACAAGGCAGGCTAAGTCGTGGACTCTTTCAAACTGAACGCCATATTAAAGCCAAACTGCTGTAGGACAACGGAGATCAACAGTCGTCTTTTGGTGAGATCAACCTACAAATCTTTTTTTCGCAACATGGTCATATTGGTAGGAAGACTTATTGAATCGCACCTAGTCCAGGGTCCATTGTCTGTATGATCATTTCCAAAGTTGAACCGTAGACGTGGTACATTCCCAAACGTTCCCAACCTCTATACAACGAAAGGAGATTGCGACCACACACAAGGCCACACCATCTTGGCCTTCATACCTTCTACAAATCTTTTTTCATTCACTTTCATACGAAATGAAAGTTCCCACAACAAGGTTATATCTGGATACTCTTCAAGACTCAATTACTCTTCGTATCCAAATTACAAATGGATGATACTAAATTCCAACTGTACGCATTCCAGCAAATTGGTTGTATTCATCATTAGATTACAGAGGACATATCAAATAGCTCATCCTTTGTCTCTGTCTTCGTAAGCTCTTTCAGGGTGGCATACCGTATCAGAGGCATCCTCAAATGCTTCTGTTTAGTGAAAGCCAATGAAGACAAATAATCGCAACCCTCCGGCGGCAAGTTAAGTCAACATCGAAGATCTTGACCAGTGAGATGTAAATAGTAATCGCGTTTTATTGCCTTTCCCATTTTCTGTACTATTTCCGTTAATGTTCACAAACTATACACCCGAAACGCATGGCATCACTTCTGCTCATCACGTGTTGGCATCTCTTTCAATGAATATGTCTTCAAAGATCCTACAGTAAATGTTGTGTAGTTTCTAATATTTACGGCCGATCTCATCGATCATGCAGCCAAATATCTTCATACAACAAGAATTTTCTCTCTGTGTCTGCTTTACCCACCATTGGCCACTTTGTAGCCTTTCTACCGCCTGCTTAACCTACGCAATGAAGCCATATCTAAGTTCAGCCTCTGCGTTACCGATACGTGGATAGGCATTGTATTCATTATTCCCATACTCAGGAGGATATAGAAATTCAATAGTAACAGTAATTCCAAGCAATGCTTTGCTGCGAATAATGAAAAGAGTTTTCAAGCTTAGTTAAGTGAAACTGGCGACTTCAGCGACACCTCCAGCCATGACCTTTCGGGAAAATGGACAACACAATAACTTTAATTCGTCATACCTTGGCCTAATCGAGAGTCAATGAATTGGCCAAATGGGTAAAATTCAAACATAATAGTAAAGCGGATTAGCAATCAAAATAATGTGAATTTGTAAGCAATGTAGTGACAGGAAAGCAAAAAAAAATAACAAGCGAGAGGTTGGTCTGAGATTCATTGGGTACTGCAAAATTCTAGGCCAAGCTATACTTGGGTAAGAGGCCACTCTACTCGACAAGATTGAAGCTTGGTTGTCTCTTCAAAATAAATTTTGTTCTTCCACACGCAGAGAACTGGTCTCCTCTGAATGATGGCCAAAGTATAGTCAAATCTCGACAGACCCTTCTTAATTTATGCAACGCAATAGACACCCAATTTAGATGTGTCAATATCGCCAACGAAACAATTATCACAACAGGATCAAACTGGCTAGGCTGTGAGCTATTTGACTAGCTAAAAATGCAATGTCCGGTAATTGCCACAAATCTCAGTACTCGAAGGGAAAAAAAATTATTCAAATATTCTGGGGAAAACAAAGTTTTGACCTTGAAAAATACCGAAGCCTTGATCAAATAAATAATGGTAGAGGGTTTAGTCAGTGAAGGGTATAGTTGCGACAAAGCAAATACAGAAACTCAAAAAAAATGCCGGATCCGATAAACTTAGCTAGTCTGGAGGTAAATCAACTGAGGGCCAGATAATGTATCAGGATCTACATTTCTCTAAGAGTTTTTATTGAAAAATAGAAGTCTGTCTCGGGTAGAAGCCAGTGTCTAGAAATGATTACTCTGGCCTCATGAGTTGGACAGTTTATTTGAGTAGTGTCCCCGAAAAAGCAGACAATTGTTAAAATGATACGACTGAGGTGACCTACCTTCCAGTTCCATGGCAGGCAGGCCAAAGCTGATAATGCCAAAAAGTGCTAGAATGAGGATTCTCACTTTAATACAGTATCTCGAGGACATCCTCGGAAATAAAAACAATGAACACCAAGCGAAACCGCAAAAGAAGACTCGCATCCGCGGACAGGAACAGCAACACCACAAAACTACATCTCTCAGAGAAAAGAATAACTTGCACTCATCAAAAATCGGAGGTATTCATCCTTTTTCGTTTAAGGTGATAAAGGACTGGTAGAAGAATTTTCCCACAATGATGTGAGTAGAGCTGACGCTTCCATTGAATTGCACATTGTTTTGCTTTCCCAAAAGGTGTTCTCATCCAGACTGGAATGCAGTTTAGAACTTGAAATGGTCAGCTCTTCTCATATGATTGTGGGAAAATTCTACTACCACTCCTTCATCACCTTAAATGAAATAGGGTGAATACTTCTCATATTACTGATTTACTGGTAGTCTCGAAACTCTACTCTTGTAGGAAAATCACTCAGTGTTTAGGTAGCAGCAACAAATTTAATGAGTGGCCACAATCAGCTCTATGCATTTGCCTAAAATTCAGATTGAAGCTTTTTAACGGATACTGCTCACTATATCATGCGCTTCGAAATGACTTGCCGAATGTAATATTTAATCAACCACATCATTTTATTTATTTCAAGTAGGTTGATTAGCCAACCCTGATGATTCGAAGAAGCCAGAAAGGTAATGACAAGCTAAAATGATCCATTTAGAACGGAAAACGAAGATATAAGGGCGAAAGAGAACTGTGCCTTCTAGAATAATCCTCAGACAATTTGGCCATATTTCTTATACTTCAGCTCATATTTTTAACGTTTCAGAACGTATTCCTGTCTAGCCACATCTACATAGTCTCTGCAACTTGATTATATTTTTCTTCTCCTGCAACCACTACTTCAATAAAGTTTTAGGACAATACACCACATCCGGGCTAAAACGCCTCATAATTATCATTGCGAAACCAAGTCATAACAGGTTTCTGAAAATGAGAGATAAATAATTTCTGCTTAGGAGAGATCAGACCCTGAAGTGGGAATCCCACGTTAGCCAGAAGACCAAGGAAAGTTGCGATGAAAAGTGGAATGGATTAAGAAGGGCCAACTCTCCTCAGAGAGTTCTTATTTATTAAATGTAACCATAGTTACAGGCAAGGAGGCCTCCATTACTGTCATTGCAGCCATTACAGTTTGCATAGGTTAAATAGTATCAAATACAGATACTTAAAAAACATTCAACTGAGCAAAGCGGGGTCCTGACAAGTGACAGAAAAGTGTCGATAAAGAGCCTGAATACGAAACATAGATGATGTTATACGATGCTGAGGGAATAAACGACTTGTCATATGGTGGCCTTCAATGTGGAACCGCCCCCCCCCGCCCATATTAAAGGATGGATCCTTTTGATACAGGCAGAATGGCAACAGAGGCGAAAATAGGCGTTCTTCAAGGCTTCCCTATTAATTTGATCGTGTTACAAAACGATGTAAAATCAAGACCTATTAAATAATTGAAAACACCAGACAGACAAGTGGATACATTTCCTTGGTCTCAGTAAGTAAGTCCACAAAATCCATATTCCCACTCTATGGAAATTAGCATATGAAACTGAGAATCAAGATGGTGCATGTAGCAAAATGAGCAAATCAAACGACAGTGTATGGCTTCGGAGAAAAAAGATGAGGGCGAATGTCCAGAAAAGTGCGGAAAAAAATAGGCGATGTGGCTTATGTGTCTGTAATTGCTATTGAAATTGAAATGGTTAAGGTCACGACAGCATGTAGATGCTTACATTTCTTAAATGGTATCAGCGTAGATTGTTACATTGAGCTTCTGTAACTAGAGCTGTAGTCGTGGCATTGGTTAATCGATCAGACTGTTGTGCAGTCCTACATAATCGCATGTGGAATAGATGCGGTTTCAACCGGACACTTTCGGGGGATATTCGGAATTCCAGTTCCGATCGTTAAAGGGCTTCAAGTTGCCCACAAAAGGGGTAAGAGCTTACGGTGTCCTGGTGGGGACAACCGAAGTTTGCACAGGCCCTCTGCAATCAGTGAAGCCAAGGATCAAGAACAATGCAAGGCTTGATTGATCGAGATCAGGTTGTGTAACGCAGGTGGCCTGCCTAACCACGATTTCGCTTGTTACCCTCACATAAGGCTTTGCTATCGACCAGAAGCATCGGATTGGTGCAGTCAAAGAAGAGATGGCGATACCGTGTTTTGGCACGTAGTGTGCAGATAATGAGAAGATGTGTCCGCTGTGTGGAGGAACAAGAAGCATGGTTTGTCTTCAAATGAAAGAGGCGACTAGCCGAACTCTATGCACTCGTGTGTGCATGTGTGAACCGGCGGCATACATCGCACCTGCCGGTGGACTCTGTTTGCTCCAATGATTCCGTTGTCAGCGGAGACAGACTTTTTCCTGACTGCCGCAGAGGGAATCGTTTGAACAGATAACTGAATTCTCCACGTTGAGCAGGACGATGCTCTGCCTACACATACGACACCTTCTCCGTGGGTGTGAGTATAAACTGGCTAAGCCCTTTGTGAATCTCGGCCCGTCAAGCTCGCTGAAGGTGATGCATGGCATGATTTTTGAGCTCCCCACAACGCACTCGACAAAAGGCCTCGCGACACCAGTTTCGCCTTTCAACATGCTTTAAGGTTCGAGCCCGCCCCTTGTCTCGTCATCATCGCCAAAGGGAGTCAAAACGGTCTCAAGGCTACCCACCATCCGCCGCAGCCACAGTCACCGGAGCATCACAGGCCAGACGTCGCCCAATTCACATTATATCGTATTCGTAATAACCCTCGACAACAATGCCATACTCTGAATCATACCAAATGGTCTTGGGTTACTCCAACATTTATTGGGGACATGTCGAAGGTTCCGAGACATGGTTGCCTTGCTGTCGCCCGGCCATGCAGCTGGGTCGAGAAGAAAGGATTGAAACCAGCGGACAAAGAGGTACAAAAGAACATTGTCAGCCTGGATCACACAGAGACGAATAGACCTCGTGAGAATAACTGATAGTTGTTGAGCCTATTTGTATTTGAGTGAAAGTGCTTGCTAAAGAGATCCGAAGGTCGATCTCACCAGAAGACGACGGTAGCTTCCTTTTTACCAGCTGTCGATTGGCTTAACTGGAACATTTACTTTGACGCTGTTCCCGAGGCAATCCCTCTCGATTCCGGGAAAAATGTGGTAGACTTTTAGTTTTGTTGACACTTTAGCTTGAATGCGTTTGTAAGGATGATGCCCACCCTTCTAT